GATTAAATTAAAATATTAATTAACAAATTATTCCATCCATATCTTTAGTTTGAAAATTACACTCTCCAGATCTTTATAGAAAAGGCAAACAATCACTTGTTTTTACACTTTCAGGAAGAAAAACACCCTTACAATATTCTAGTCACCCATGGAAAACTCATGCAGAATATCTTCTGCCCACTGCAGGTAAAGAAACAATCTAGTTTTGCAGTGTCTTTCAAATCAGTTCAGAACATTATATACTGTCACATTATTTTAACAGAATACTATATTATTAGTTGCTGAGTGGTGGATTTTCCTTTTCTTTTTCTTTTTTTTTTTTTTTAACTTGTTTTCAATAGTGTTGTTGTTGTTATTTGCCATCGAGTCGGCCCCGACTCATAGCGACCCCTCCTTGGGTTTCCGAGGCAGTATCACTACGGGAGTAGGAATGCCCAACCTTCCTTTCAAGGAGTGGCTGGTGGGTTTGAACCGCCAGCCTTCTGGTTAGCAGTCAAGTGCCATAGTAGTATATGACTATTAGGTGGAAGAAATGTAAATATTGAAGGGATCACATGAATATTATATTTGTCATTTGTGGTGGTTATGTTTGTGTGTCAACTTGGCTGGGCCTGGTTGAATAGCTGGACAGCTGTGGTAGTTAACTCTCCATGATGAGACTGGCAATCAACTCCATGATGGGATCTACCTCAAGAAGCTGAGTAGCTGCTTTGGGTATGTGGTCTGCTTCCCATATATAAGAAGCAGCTTTGGGAATGGTCTCTACCTTATGGCACCTTGAACCCTGCATGTAGCCATGTCATTGTTCAGCAGCCTACTGTGCTCTGCCAACCTTGGGATTTACAATGGACTTGAATGAATGGCATGCAGTGTGATTTGGTAATATTGGGACTGTGCCTTGTTACTTGTCAACCTTGGGCTTGGCAGCCTCAGCAGGCAGCAGCTGTCTGAGTGAAGAAAAACCTCTAGCTTCAGTGGGACAGGAGCTGGAGGCAGAGCTGAAACGCAAGGCTGGGGGGCTTTCATCCAGCCCCAACAGCCTGGCACTTTGAACTTGGACTTAAAGTCTCCAAATTGTAAGAATAAACTTCTGTTTGTTAAGGCCATACCATTTGTGGTATATTTCTTGTCAGAGCAGCACTAGATAACTGGAACATCATTCTTATTTATTTTCTTCTTCAGCATAACTACCATGTTGAAAGTTATTCTATTGTACTGTTTTATAAATATAAAATTCAAAATGTAGGTTTTAATAAAAACTTTATAGTTAACGATTGATGCTGGAAAATGTTTGAGAAACACCCCATATACATAGCAAGCAAATGGTAGAGTCAAGATGCAACATGTATCTTTTTCTGAAGGTTTTAAATCCTCAATTCCATGAAGCTGCAACATGAATCTTCAAAGAAGAAACCTAAACCAGATTGGTCAGCATAAAATAAAACGAGTTCTTCATTCTGTTTTCAGGTTATGAAAGCCTGCTGCATTACTATAATATTGTAGAAGGTTAGTATGTATTTTAATGAGAGTAAATTATAAGGAATTATTTTTCAAATTGAACCATCAAAATGAAAATGGCCTAACTATGGTAAAGCTACTTATGAACACTCAAGTAGCCATTCTTAACCATTATGATTCTTAACAAAGTCAATGATACAATGATACCAAGAAATTGTAAGTAAACAGGTTGGTAATTCAAACAAATTGAAACAAAAAACAACAAAATTTGTAAACCATTTGAGAGGGTCCTCAATTAAAGAGTAGGTTTATGGAGAAAATAACAGTATTATTGCCAAAACAGGAACCCAACACACTTCACCTTACTTAATTTGATAATGTTATTAAATGAATAGTGACTTCCACAAATAGCATCCATTCATCACAAGTTACAAAGAAATATACTAAAAGCCATCCTTATTTCCAAGAATATGTAAGATCCATTGGGGTAAAATTAGTGAATGTATCAATCAATCAATGCATCACACTTTCAGGTTAGTTCATCTTTCCTATATATTTTTATCCTTAAAATATCAGAATATATTTTATGATAAAAGTATTATAATAAAGTCATCAAGGAAATGAAAACAAATAAAAAGTATATGTACTTATCTTATCCAGTAACTGCTCTTAAAAGAACGTATTTAATGAATTTTATAATATTTCTGAAAAATTTTTATTTGAAATTTTTATAAATATTAAATTCTCAAGGTAAGTATTCTTGGATAGATCTGAAATTATTTTCCTAGGTATTTAACCTAAGTCATGCATCACATATTAAGTTGTTTTTAGGTCAGTTACACATTGACTAAACTCAAATGTTTTTTAAGATATGCTTTCAGATTCCCTCAATTTTAAGTTGTATGGGATATATTTTTTAATGTATGTGTCAAACAAAATAAGAAAGGCATACATTATAACTAAGGTCATTTAAAGTGGCTTTATTTTAAAATTATCTGAGGTAGATCTTATAAGCTTGCCAGAATTATGGCCACTATTGATTGTAATCACCATAAAGGGGAAGAAGAAAACATGAATGATTTTCCAAAAGCATGGGAGAAGACTGACTGACAGGGTTTGAAGAGTACATGATAGAAGAATAAAGAATAGCAGGAAGAGAAAGAAAAGGGGAGATGATAAGATAGAAGAATTCCAAACTAAGATTTTGGAATACAATAGTGATACAACTTTGAACTGAATATTGAAAAAAATATATATAATTTAAAGCCTCATGTATATTTAATGGAGTGAATGGCTATAAGATATGCAGGAGAACTATAAGACAGCAGAGATGTGTTACCATGGGAGGAAATCCAGGTAGCAAACTCAAGTGTTGAAAAGGTCTCAGAATGTTAAGACTGAGGAAGCTGTCACTTTATCTTCTAATGAAGATGATATCAGAATCAGATTTTTATATGATGGCAAGGAGACAGATTGTTATATTTCAAGACAAAATAGTGATGAATGGATATAACAATAATTAAAAGTACGGTGAAAAGAAGTGGAGGAAAAAATAGTAAAGTAATAGATCAGAGATTCAGAAATGAATGTATTGAACAGAGAGACTAAATCATTTATGTACATTCAAGGTGCATGTGAGTATGGATTAAATATGGCATATAAATAGAAACACAGTATCAGAGGCAGAAGAAAAGAGAGAATGTAGACTAGACTTTGTGAATTAACTTTAAATATGAATACATATATACCAAGCAGAAAAGATGAGTTAAAATAAGGAGCTATTTTATATTAAAATTCTTAAAATATTAGGCTAAAATCTCTTATGATTTAAAATATATATATATTAAATAATGTTCAAATTAGGAAGAGGTTGTGGCCATGTCAATATTTTACTCTTCTTGATTGGTTACAATGCAAATCACAATAAAATTGTGTGAAAACACAAAACTGTTGGATATGGTCAGGGTGTATGAAGCAATATAGAAAATGGGTTTGAACGGTTCATGTGGTCAATGTAGTATTAATTATATAGGAAGTCAATGGTATGATGTATCTGCCCTGGATCATTATAATTTAATTTAATCTAAATATTAGGCATTTGTGGTTTCTTCAGTACTCAGAAGGCAGGAACAGAATTAAACACGTGAATGGTCAGCTTGCAGGAGGTGATAGATTGCTCTACTGGGAAACAATGAAGTTCAGTGGGAACAGGATTTCTGCTGGAGGAAATATGGCAACGTACCATTTCGGCAGATGAACCTGGATTCAAATGCATACTCTTTCACCTATATTTATGTGGCTTAATAACTCTTCTTGATCTTTCAGTTGTGTAGTATTTTTACTTTTAAAATTATCTATTTTACTTAAGAATATAAGAAGTTACAATGAGAATTATAGCATATAATATGAAAAAAAAAAAAAAAACCTCACTACCCTCCAGCCGATTTGACTCATAGAGACCCCAAAGTGGTATCTCTACAGAAGTAGACTGGCCAATCTTCCTTCCAAGGAGTGGCTGGTGGGTTTGAACTGCCAGCCTTCTGGTTAGCAGTCACATGCCTTAGGCACTATGCCACCAGAACTCACTGCATTAAACCAAACCAAACACACTGCCATTAAATTGACTCTGACTCAGCGAACTCCATTGGGTTTCCAAGGCTGCAAATCATTAAGGAAGTATATTGCCCAATCTTCCTTCTGAGGAGTGGTTAGTGTGTTTGAACCACTAGCCTTCTGGCTAGCAGCCAAATGACTCGTAAACTGCATGTTGTTGTTGTTGTTGTTATGTGCCATCGAGTTGGCCCCGACTCATAGCGACCCCTCCTTGGGTTTCCGAGGCAGTATCACTACCGAAGTAGGATTGCCCACCCTTCCTTCCGAGGAGTGGCTGGTGGGTTTGAACCACCAACCTTCTGGTTAGCAATCAAGTGCTTAAGCCACTATGCTACCAGAGCTCCTGTAAACTGCATAGGACATTCTAAATACATAACACTTGGTATGAATATCATTTACATTCTTATGTCTAGGATAGGAAAGGAACAATATAAAGCCACAAACGACCTAATAAAATATTTTCAAAAAAGTAATGTGAAACAAATGGAAGATTCAAATGTCAAAGTAAAATGAGTTCATATTAATAATTGCTAAGGCAAGATGCATATAAGCAGTAAATAGTAGTAATCAGACAGAGGAATTCTTGAAGGTGAATTACTAAATAAAATCTTCTCAGTTAATCTTTCAGGCAAATGTGACCAGCATTACATTCATTTCACAGGCAGTAACTTAGAGACATTTATGCAACAAGTACATAAGATTATATTTTATACCACTACCTTGGAAATAAACTACATGAATAATAAGAAAAAAAGCGTGAGAAGGAATCATGGTGTTATTTCCTAATAAACAATACCAAGTAGAGAGAATAAAATTAAATAAATATGAGACAAAAACATACTTAGGCTAATTTTTTTTCCTCATGTTTATTCTCCACTTATTTTCAGAATTATTTGCCTGTATCTTTGTCCAAAGCAAAGTACCCAGAGATGCCCAATTCTACCACAGTGACTGAATTCCTGCTTACAAGATTTTCTGACATGTGGGAGTTCAGAGTCTTGAATGCCTTGCTATTCCTACTGATATATTTGGCAACATTGCTGGGAAACTTTCTCATTGTCACAGTAACCACCCTGAATCAGAATCTTCACACTCCCATGTATTTCTTTCTTAGGAATCTGTCAGTCCTGGACATGTGCTATATTTCTGTCACTGTACCCAAGGCATGTGTCATTTTCCTGCTTGACAACAGGGGTATCTCTATGGTTGGATGTGCAGCTCAAATCTTCCTTGTGGTTTTGTTTGCTTTTACAGAGATGTTGTTCCTCACCATTATGGCCTATGACCGCTATGTGGCCATTTGTCATCCTCTACACTACCCTTTGATCATGAACCCTCGGGTCTGTGTCCAGATGACACTGGCCACAATACTCAGTGGTGTTATCTACTCAGGATTTCACATGGGCAACACTTTCCGGCTGAGCTTCTGTCAGTCCAACATGGTTCATCTCTTCTTCTGTGATATCCCCTCTCTTTTGAAGCTCTCTTGCTCTGACACCTTCAGCAACAAGATTGAAATTTTTGTCTCTGCCCTAGTAGTTGCAGGTGGCTGCTTTATCTTAATCATAATGTCCTATATTCGCATATTCTCTACTGTATTCAAGTTTCCAACAATGGGAGAGAGAGGAAAGGCCTTTTCCACCTGTGTCCCTCATATTCTTGTGGTGACAATCTTTGCCACCACAGGTGCTGTTGTGTATATGAATCCAATCTCCACCTCACTTCAGGACATGATCATTTCTGTGTTCTATTGTATACTCCCTCCTTTCCTAAATCCTATTATCTATAGTCTTAGAAACAAGCAGATAAAAGAGGCATTAAAGAGAGTTACATGAAAAATGTTGTATTCAGGAAAATTACAGAATGATTATTTCAAGATAGTCCCACTTTAAATATACAAATTGAAAATGCTACAAAATTAGTTTTCTTGCCTATGTCTAAAATTGAGGATCTGTCTTGATTTCTAAGTGCCAGTGACTACATTACTTGTCAGCATATAAACAATACATCAATATTTTAATTTAAGGCTTCCTCTCTCAAAAATGCACATACCCTCTCAGATTCCTGAAATATGAATATTATAGTGCTAAAAATTTCTAATTAAAACTATCTAGAGAGATCTAGAACAGAGAAGTCATATGTTCACTTTGATTTATTTTGCAACTATAAGAGAGGGAGAATCATTCAGTCAGTCATACTTTTAAAGGATTTTTAAAAATATATAGAATTATAAAATAACATGAAATCTAGTCATAGATATTAATAAAATACTAACATTTCATAAATAATAAAAAAATAAGCTTCCATATATGTGGTTGGAAAGATATCTCAATGATATATCTCAGTGATACATGCTTTTTCAAAATCTGGAAGAATAAATTTTTGTGTTTTAAACTTTTTATTGTGATGGTTGAAAGTTTACAGAACAAATCAATTTTCCATTCATAATGCATATATATTTTGTTTCATTGAATTGATTCTAATCCCTTCAATGTAATATCACTCCTCTCACATCCTCCCTGTGTTTCTCGTTCCCATTCCTCCTTCTCTCCTAACCCTTCCTGCCTTCTGAAATTTGTCCTTGAGCAAATGTTGCCTTTTTGATCTTTATTGGCTGATTATTCTAAGGAGTGTGTTACCTTCCTGCTGTTATTTTTCACTTTATAAACCTACCAATCATTTGAGTGAAAATTGAGCCACAGGAGTGAATTAATTTCCAAGTCTGAAGGGTAGCCAAGGGCCATAGTGTTGATGGTTTCACTAGTTTCTATCTGACCAGACCCGTAAGTCAGGTCTTTTATATTATTTTGAGTTTTGTTCCACAATTTACTTCTACTCTATCCACAATCTTCTAATATGATCCTTTTCACAGCAGTCAGTAGTGGTAGATGGCCGCTATCTAGTTCTTCTAGACTCAGGGTTATGGAGGTTGAGGTGAGTGTAGTCCATTATTCCTCTGGACTAATTGTTCCCACATGCCTTTGATTTTCTTCACTAGTCTTTGCTCCAGATGTGGAAAGACCAATAGTTGCACTTAGATGGCCACTCACAAACTTTTAAGAACATTGTTGCTATTCCAAAATAACATGTAGAACACTGTTTTTGTGGACTATTTTGTGCCATTTGACCTTGATGTCTACTGAGACTACAGTCCTGAGTCCTCAGGATCAGTGACTCACTCCCTCAAAGTTTTTGTTATGTCTAAGAAGTTTTCATATATTTTCTCCCTGTATACTCTACAATGTCACCCCAAGATGGATTGACAAAGTGGCTGCAGTGATGGGCTCAAATACAGTAATGATTGTAAAGGATGGCATACCACCAGATAGTGTTTTGTTCTGTTGTACATAAGATTGCTAAGAGTCAGAGTTGACTTGACCTTGAAGGCACCTAACAACAACAACAACAATAACAACATGCTCTATTCAATTAATATACATATTTGCAGCATATATAAATAAATATATAGAAATAGTTTTAGTTGGGGTAAGCCCCATTCTCCTTCCCACACCTGTTCAGCTTGCAAGCTGGATTTAGAAGAGGACATGGAACATGGAGTATTGTTGATAAAGCCAGAGATCTTGGAAGAAAACAAAGAATACCAGAAAGAGATTTATTTGTGTTTCATTGACTGTGCAAAATCATTTGATTGTGTGGATCATAAAAAGTTACGGATAACATTGCAAAGAATGGAAATTCCAGAATACTTAAAATTGTGCTCTCAAGGAACCTGTACCTAGACCAAGAGGATGCCGTTTGAACAGAACAAGGGGATGATGCATGGTTTAAAATCAGGAAGGCAGTGTGCCAGGGTGGTATCCTTTCACCATATTTATTCAACTTGTATGATGAGCAAATAATCCTATAAGCTGGACTATGTGAAGGAGAATGTGGCAGCAGGATTGTAAGAAGGCTCACCAATAATCTGCAACAGGCAGATGACAAAATTTCTTGCTGAAAGTGAAGGTGATTGAAACACTTACTGATGAAGATTAAAGACTATAGTCTACAGTATGGATTACACCTGAATATAAAGAAAATAAAATCCTCACATCTGGACCAATAAGCAGTATCATAATAAATAGAGAAAAGATTGAAGTTGTCCCAGATTTCATATTACTTGGTTCCACAAAAAACTGGAATCAGCAGTCAAGAAATCAGATGTCATATTGCACTGGGAAAATCTGCTGCAAAAGACTTCTTTCGAGAGCAGGCAGGGCAATATGGCGGACTAGGCAGAAGGATTGCACAGACCCTCTTCAACAAAGAAAAGGGAAACCAATTAACACAGACACAGAAGATAATCTTGGAC